TATATAATTATAAATTTATTTATTAATAATTATTTTTATTTATAAACTATTAAAATTATAAATTTAAATACTATATATAATAATAAATATAATTACTTTATTTAGCTATCTCTTAGTTTAATAATATAGTAAGTTAAATAACTACTTTTAAATAGTTTTACTTATAATATAGTAAAGCTAATAAATAAATATTTACTTATAAAGTAAAGTTAAAACTTAAAGGAATAATAGCTTTATCTTTACTTATTTTAACTAACTTATACTTAAGTTATATAATAAATTTAATACTTATATATAATACTTATTAATATTAAATTAAATAGCTTATAATTTATAATAGCTTTAATTTTTAATAGATTAGTTTATATTAAAGTTAATAATATTAACTTAAATTAATATAGTTTAATATATTAATATAGAAAGATATCTTTTAATAATAAATAATATTATAAATAATTATAAAGTTATTATAAAAGTTTTATATAGTAAATTTAATTAAATTAACTTTTAAAAATATATTATATTTTAATTTTTAAAACTTTAATTATTTACTTTTAATTTAATAATAAAATTAAAAATATATAAATAATTTATATAAATAATTAAAAATAAATATTATTATTTTATTAATAAGTTTTATTTTAATAATTTAATAATTTAAAAATTATAATAAATAATTATTTATAAATCTTAATTTAAATTATTTAATAAATTTATATTAATATAATATATTAAATTTAATTTAATTTTAATATAAAGTTAATATATATATATATTATATATTTTATAAATTAATTTTAATATAAAGTTAAAAATATATATTAAATAATATTAATATTATTAAATTATTTTTATAATTTTAATATATAAATAATTTATATTAATATTATTTATTATATTTTAATTTTAATATAAAATTAAAATAAATTAATATTATAAAAATATTATTTTAAATAAATATAATAAAAATAAAAATAATATTTTATTTTATAAATAATAATATAATATAATAATATAAACTATTTATATTTTTTTAGTTTTATTATTAAATTAAAAATAAATAGTTAGGGTTTTAAAGGGATAAAATATAATATATCTTTTAAAGATTAACTTAGCTAAGTTTATTATATAAGACTTTTTATAGTAACTTTATAATTATTTATAACGCTATTTATTATTAGAAAACACCTTTTTATACTAGTATACTAGGCCGTACCTAGTTTGTTCGGGCTAGCGCCGTTAGCCCGTTAAAGGTTAAAGCTATTACAAACTATAAGCTACCTAATCTTAACGCTATTAAACACTATATACAAGGTTATTATATAATTTAGGTGAATATAAATTGGCTAAAATAGGTGAAGATAAAGCTATTATTCCCCTAAAGGTTCTAACTTTACTTTATAAGCAAATACTCATTTATTAGCTTTGCTGCGTTATAAGTAAAACCACTTAAAAGCAGTTGCTTAGCCAAACTAAAAGACAACTAGATAAGACAACCACACTCCATTATTTGGGTTTATAGATCTAATAGTTTATAAATAGAAGAAGAAATGGCTATTAACAACTAGATTTATAATTATATAAAGGTAAACCTTTATTTTAAAGAGAAGTTATTAATGTTTAAGATGGTTAATATATTTTTAGAGAAGCTAAGGGATTATAAGTTTAATTTAAAGGAAATTAAAATTTATAAAAATCTTAAACTTAAGCTTGAGGGCTCCCCTTTAAATTTAACTCTTTTAAAGAGAAAAAAGCTAGAAAAGCTTAAAAAGAAGCTTGAATAAGGCTAGATGAGGTTATAATAATATAATATAGTTAAATAAAAAACTAGTTATAAAATTATAATTATAAGTCTTTTAGCTTTATATTTAAAAGGGATAATATAATAATATATATTAATTTAATAATATATTTATTTATATAAAAATTATAAATTATATATAATTAATAATTAATATTTAAAATATATTATAATATATTTTAAATATTAATATAAATAAAATTTAACTTTAAAATTATATATAAAATAATATATAATATATTTTAACTTTATATTAAAGTTAAAAATATATATTTAATAATATAAATATAAATTAACTTTAAATTAAAGTTAAAGATTATTATTAATATATAATAATATAAATTAACTTTAAATTAAAGTTAAAAAATATTTATTAAATAATATTAATACTTTTTAACTTTAATTTAAAGTTAATTTATATTATTATATATTAATAATATTTATTTTATAATATAATTAATAATAATATAGCTAGGGACTAGTGTAAGATCCCCTAGTATACCGTCATTGGCGGCATGCTAATCTAGTTTATTATCGCCGTCTTTATGCTGCGCTTCATATAGCAGTCATTTGTTACAGCCTTCGGACCACCTAGACCGTCGAGGACGAAACCCGTCAACAAGACGACAATGTCCGTCTTTTAATTACCTATATAGCGCTAGTTTACTCCTTTCTTTCTTCTACTGCCGGGGATGGGTCATTAGGAAAGCAGTAGTCACCACTCGCTGCGTCCTCGGGGTGAGCTCATGTCGAGACTTATCCAGCAGTGTGTCGACAGCGGCTGCCAACCTCGCCGCCCTGCGCGCCTCTAGTACTGGCCTCGGCCATGAGGTTGTCGTTTACTCGCAGCTCTCATTACTCTGGCCGCAGTATTATTAGCGGCACCCTTATGTGGACCTATTATTATCGCCGATTGGAGAACATCGCGTGTGAAGCCCCAGCCGACGCGGGCCGCCAACCGCGGGCCATCAGCGACTTCCCAGACAGCCTCGCTCATAGACGGGCTCGAGGGGACGCTGTGCGGCCACATCGGACTGATCGAGGGCGAGCGGGCCAAAGGCGTTTGGAACATGGTTTTTGTCTGCTGTGACAATACCCCGGGGCCGGGCGTCGGTCTTGCGCGGCTGGTCCTGGTCGTCGGAGCTGGCGATGGTGATGCCTGGCCCGGGCGGCCCAGGCGACCGAGGAACAGCGGTGGACGATGATGAGGAGTTCCACCTGTTGTCTCGCCAGCTTTACTCTCTGTGGCGTCTGGGAGGAGAGCCCAAGCCAGCTGTGTCCGGTGCCACCATTCTCCTCCGGCGTGGCGCCATAATGTGACGCCTTAATATAAATAGTAAGTACTAAAGATCCGGAAAGCCGTACTATAATGTCTTGGAGGGGCAAGCCATGTTGTAGACAATGTTTGCAGAGCTGCCTAACCACACCCCAACTTGTATGTTGCATGCTCTCCGGTGATGAAGTGAAAATCCTTTGACTAAACGCTCCGTCGCAACATCTTGGTGTGCTTCTCTCCGCCTCTTGTCCTTTTCCCGGCCGCACCCATGGAGGTTCTCGCCGCGGATCCTCATAACCAGCTCCCAAGGCCCTCACCACAGCTATAATAAATATATAGCTTAGTTTAAGGAAATTATAAATTATAAATATTATTAAATAGTATTTTTTTACTTTAAAATAAAGTTAATAAATATTAATATTATTTAATATATATTTTTTAACTTTATTTTAAAGTTAAAAATATTAATATTATATATTATTATAAATTAACTTTAAAATAAAGTTAATAAATATATATTAAATAATATTAATATTTATTAACTTTATATTAAAGTTAAATAATATTTATATTATATAATATTATATAAATATTAAATTTATTTATTTAATATTTTATTTTATTCTTTTAATTATTATTAAATATTATATTAATATTATATAGAATTATTATAATAATAAAATAATTTTTATAATAATTAAAATTAAAAATATTATATATATTATTATATATTTTTAACTTTATATTAAAGTTAAATTTTATTAATTTATAATAATAAATATTTTTAACTTTAATATAAAGTTAAAAATATTAATATTATAAATTATTATAAATTAACTTTTATTAAAGTTTAAAAATATTTATATTATTTAATTATTTTAAAATAAAATATTTCTTTTATTTAAAATTATATTAATTAAACTTTTATTTTATTATATTTTATATTATAATTATTATTAAAAATAAAATTTAAATAAATTAAATTTAATATTAATAAATATAAATATTTATTATTAAAGTTTTAATTTATATTATATACTTTATTTTATATAAAATAAAATATATAAAAATATATTAAATATATTATTTATAAAGAATATTATATTAATAATATTATAATTAATTTATAAATTAAATTTATAATATTATATATATATATATTATATATATTTTAATTTTAATATTAAAGTAAAATATATTATTATTATATATTAATTAATTTTAACTTTAATATAAAGTTAATTTATATATTTTAAATTATATATATATATATTTACTTTATATTAAAGTTAAAATAAATTAATATATAATAATAATATTATTTAACTTTATAATAAAGTTAAAGTAAATATTTAAATAATTTATTATAAGAAAAAATAAAAATAAAGTAATTATTTTTAATATATTAATTTAAATTAAAATAATATTATTTTATATAAAATAAAAGGTTTAAAAGGATTATAAAAGAAGGTTTATATTTTAAAAATATAAATAAATAAATAATATTAAATAATTAAATAATAAATAATTAATAAAACTTTTATTATTTATATATATATATATTTATATAATTAATTTATAATTTTAATAATAAAATAATAATTATAAAAGTTTTAAAATAAAATATATTTTAAATTTTATTTATATTTATATTTATATTTATATTTATATTAATAATAATTTTAAATTTTATTTATATTAATATTAATATAAAATAACTTAAAATTAAAGTTAATTTATAAATTAAATATTTATTTATATATTTTAATTTATATTAAAGTTAATTTATATATATTATTAAAGATTAATATATTTTAACGTTATATTAAAGTTAATTTATATATATTATTAAATATTAATATATTTTAACTTTATATTAAAGTTAATCTATGTATAATATTTAATAATATATTTATAATTTTACCCTTACCTACCACCCCGGCACCACCTTCTTTAGAAAATTCATAAACTTAAAAAGCCCCACCGCGTACTCAACATTCCCCTCCGGGTCGACCACCCGCTGCGGAAACGCGATGCCGGCGCCAAAGAGCCCCGGGATCCTCCCCCCGGACGCGGCATCGACAAAGGCGCCGGTGGCGTTGTCAAACCGGGGGGCGACCGTCCTCCCGTCGACCCTCAGCTCCGGCAGCGGGTCGGGCTTGTACCCGATGGCCTGGCAGACGTGCGTGCAGCCCGCGAGCTCGCGCGCGTACGTCTCGGCCTCGCTGCCGTGGCTGGTCGCGACCTTGACGAGGTGGCCAGACACGGACGACGAGGCCAGCACGCCCTCCTCGAGGTTCTCGCGCGCCCAGGTCGCAACCTCGCCCTTGAGCCCCGTGTTGTCGCGCAGGATCCAGCCGTCGCGCTCCTCGGCGTACCGCAGCGGGTGGCGCGTGAACCACTTGATGCGCAGCCGCGGGTGGGTGCCGGACGCCAGGCGCGACAGGTTGCGCAGGACGAGGATGGCGGAGTGGGAGGCGCCGATGACGCCGATCTGCACGGGCTGGTCGGTGGGGAGGGTCCTGGAGAGGAGCGTGGGCGAGAGGGCGGTGTCGAGGTGGACGTGCTGCAGGTGGCTGACGGGCAGGGGGCCGCTGGTCGGCGAGGAGCCGGTGCACAGGACGAGCCTGCTGGCGTCGACCTGCGTGGGCGTGCCGCCCGGCCGAGCAATCGAGACGCTCCAGGTCGAGCCTGACCACGCCGCATCGGTGACCCTCCCCTGGTGCTTCGTGACGCCCCTCTGCTCGTCCAGCCCGTCCGTCAACATGAGACACAGGTCCGCCGCCTGTGCTATGTGACATGTCTTCTCTGCGTCCAGGCCGAGGAGGTGGCTCATCGCGTTGGGCTCAGGGGTCTCCTTGGCGATGTCCCTGAACACCTCGACCCCCTCGGCATACCTGGTGAAGAACTTGACCTTGGTGTTTGAAGGGACCTCGCGGTAGTGCTTGTTGAGCCGGCCCCCGTCAAACGCCTCGTCGGCCCACAAGATCGGGCCCTTGTTCGCCTCGAGGAGGTTTCCGACAGCCCCGATGCCGCCCGGGCCTGCACCAACGACCACCGTCTCGTACCTCCTCCCGCTCGAGTACATCCTCGTCCACCCATGCGGGCTGTGGAATTCACGCGGGGGGGTAAATGTGCCCATTGTTGCTGGCCTCCCGTTGCTCGCGCCCAGTGCGGTCCAGAGGCACCGGGCTTGGCGGCTCCCCATCCTTATAGGGGAGGCCGTCGGGACTGTGCGTATCATCCTGCAGGTGACTGTGGTGCGAGTTGCAGGCGAGGAAGCAGGTGTGACAAGGGCAGCGGATGACAGAACGGTACCTGGTGTGACTGTTCGGGAGCCGATGCCGGGCGGTTTTTAATGGCGGAAATGACTATGCACCAGGGCTTATGACACTGGTAAGGGCCGCTTGCTGTCAGGCAGTCAGGATTCGTCAGAACTACTGACGGTGCCGCGCGGAGCATTAGGGATAGTCACGTGGAGATAAGATTCTAGTAAATTATATAGTGTTTTTAAGGGTTTATATTATAAAGGATATATATAAAAAGAATAATATAATTATTATTATAATATAACTTTAAAAGTAAAATTAAAAAAATAATATAAATAAAATTTAATATATTTTAATTTTAATTTAAAGTTATTTTATATTATTTTTAAATTAAATATATTTTAATTTTAAATTAAAGTTATTTTATATTATTAAATTAAATTAAATATATTTTAACTTTAAATTAAAGTTAATTTATAATAATAAATATTTATAATATTTTTAACTTTTAATTTAAAGTTAAAAATATAATTATAATAATTTAAATTAATATTATTTTATATTATATTATAATTTTATATTTTATAAATATTTAAATATATAAATTATTTATAACTTTAAATTTTAAATATTTTAATATTAAAATTTAAAAATTAAAAATTATTAAATAAATTTTAATTTAATTTATATTTTATATTTTATAATAATAAATATATATTAAATAATTTATTAAATAAATATAATAATATAATTAATAAAAGAAAGTTTAAATTTTTTTAATATAAATTTTATTAAATTATTTATTATTATTTTATTTTAATATAAAGTTAATTTATAATATTATAATAATAATAATATAATTAATTTTAATATAAAGTTAATTTATATTATATATTAAATATTATATATTAATTTTAAATATATAAAATAAATTATAATTTTATAAAATATATTATTATAATATTATTAATAATATTTATATATTTTATAATAATTATAAAATAAATTTCTTTAATAAATTAATTTTATTAAAATAAACTTTAAAAGTTTTAATAAATATTTTATAAATTAAATATTAAATATTATATTTTTATTATTATTATTATTAATAAATAAATAATATTTTAAATACATTCTTAAGATTCTTTTAATATTTATAAAATAAATAATAAAATTAAATTAATAAAAAATAATTAATTTATTAATTAAAATTATTAAATAAAACTTAATTATATATAAATATTAATAATTATTTATTTTATAACATTTTATAAATATAATTGAATTATTATAAAAGAATATAAAAGAAATAAAGTTTTAAATAATATTTAATTTATTTTTAAAAAAAAACTTTTAAAAATTTTAATATTAAAAATTTAAAACTTTAAAATTATAAATAATTTATATATTTTATTATATACTTTAACTTTTAATTTAATTTAATTATAATATAAATTAATAAATATTTTTATATTTTATAAATTATTTATATATTTTAATAACTTATTTTTAAGAATTTATTATTTTATAAAAAAATATTAATATATTATTTATATTATTTATATCTTAACTTTAATTTAAAGTTAATTTATATATATTATTTTTAATATATAAATATTAACTTTAAATTAAATTAAATTATATTAATATAAGATATTAATATAAATTAACTTTAATTTAAAATTAAATATATTATTATATTATATTAATATAAAATTACTTTAATTTAAAGTTAAATTATATATATATAAATATAATATTAAAAGTTATTATATTTATTAATTTAAATATTTATTTATTAATTTTATAAATTAAATAATTATTTTTAAATAATTTTATTTATAAAGTTAATAAATAAATATTTATTTATAAATAAAGTTAAAATTTATATATATTTTTAAAAAATAATAATTCTTTTTATTTATTTTAATTAATTTAAAAGATTTAAATTATATAAAATATTATTTAAACTTTATAATATAAAGGCTTAAGTTTATATTAAATAGAGTGGATTTAAAAAGTAAGGTTATTTAAGGAAGAAAGGAAGAAAGGAAGGTTACTTTTTAAGCTTTAAAGTAAGAGGTAATAATATAATAACTTTATTAATAAAAGAATTTATAAGAACCCCTATAAAGCCCACCTACCACCCTTAACCCCTAACCTTAATTTTATATAATAATTTTATATATAATATTTAATAATATTAAAATTAATTTATAATTTATAATAATTTTAATTTTTAATATATTAATAATATTAATTTAAATTAATAAAATATAATTTAATATATTAATATAAAAAGTATTTTTTAATAATAAATAATATTATAAATATAAAATATAAAATTAGAAAAAGTTTTATATAATAAACTTAATTAAATTAATTTTTAAAAAATTTTATATTTTATTTTAAAACTTTAATTATATTTTTAATTTAATAATAAAATTAAAAATATATAAATTATTTATATTTTTAATTCTACTATTAAGCTAGAAGTAAATAGTTAAAGTCTTAAAGGGATAAGATATAATATATCTTTTAAAGATTAACTTAGTTAAGTTTACTATATAAAACTTTTTTAGTAACTTTATAATCTATATCTATAATACTGTTTATTATTAGAAGATACCTTCCTATATTAATGCGCTAAGCTGTGCCTAATCGGTTTAGGCTAGCGCTATTAGCCTATTAAAGGTTAAAGCTATTATAGACTATAGGCTAGTTTAATGCTAGTAAGCACTATATATAAGTATTAAATTTACTATATAATTTAAGTATAAATATAAGTTAGTTAAAATAGGTAAAGATAAAGCTACTATTCCTTTAATTAAGGTTTTAACTCTACTTTATAAGTAAACACCTATCTATTAACTCCACTATATTATAAGTAAAACTACTTAAAAGTAGTCACTCAGTCAACCCACCAAACTAAAAGACAACCTTTAAATAAGGTAACTACACTCCATTACTACTTTAAGTTTATAGTTCTAATAGCTCTACTATAAATAAAAAAAGAAATAACTATTAACAATTAAATTTATAATTATATAAAGATAAAACTCTACTTTAAAGAAAAGTTATTAATATTTAAAATAGTTAATATATTTTTAAAAAAGTTAAAAAATTATAAATTTAATTTAAAGGAAATTAAAATCTATAAGAATTTTAAACTTAAGCTTAAAAGTTTTAATTTAATATTTATATTTATAAAAATAAAAGCACTTATATAGCTTAAAAGGAGGCTTAAATTAGGTTAGAGATTAAATTAAGTTATAATAAAAGAAACTAATTAAATAAAATTAGTTAGAAAATTATAATTATAGGTTTTTTAACCTTATATTAAGGAGGGATTAAAATATATAAATAATTTATATATATAAATTAATTTTTATTTTAAAATTAAATATTATTTATATTATATAATATTATATAAATATTAAATTTTAATATTATATTATTATTATATAAAATTATAATAATAATAAAATAATTATTTATAATAAAAAAGAAATATTATATATATTATTATATATTTTTAATTTTATATTTAAGTTATATTTTATTATTTAATAATAATAATTATTATTTTACTTTAATATAAAGTTAAAATATTAATATTATATATTATTATAAATTAACTTTATATTAAAGTAAAAGATATATTAAATAATATAATTTTAATATATATTTAATTTATATTTATATTAGTTAATTATTTTAAATAAATTATTTTTATTTAAATTTATATTAATATTTCTTATTATTTAATTTTAATTTTAATATAATATTAAAATATATTAATATTATTTTTAAAATTTAATATATTTAATTTATAATAATATTATTAAATTTATTTATATTATATATATAATTATAAAATAATTAATTATATATTTTATTTAATTTAATATTTTAATTTTAATTTTAATTTTTATATATTATATTAATTTAAATATTAATTATAATTAATATAATATTTATAAAATAATAAATTATAATAAATTAATTATTATAAATAAAATTAATAAATTTATATTTATATATAAATTATATTTAATTATGTTTAATTAATTTAATTAAATATTTTATTATTTAATTAAATAAACTTTTAATAAAAATAAATATATATTATTTTAAATATTATTTTATATATAATTAAATTAATTAATAATATATATATTAATTATTATTTAATATATATTATTAATATTAATATAAATAAAATATTAATTTAAAATTATA